CCCCAAAACCCCAAAACCCCAAAACCCCTTCATTGCTTTCAATCCCTTAAATATTATATCTTTATATTACACATTTGCAGTCTGGATATCCTAACGAAATTAGGATGGCCGGCTTATCGAAATCTAAAGATATGAACAATAAAATATACTGATCTTTGGTACCTTAAGAAAGCAGGAGAATGTAACAGCAGAGATTTCTGCTAACTTGGCTGCTCTTTACTCTAAGCTAGTTTCTGGGAGTAATTTTTATTCAAAAATATCTTTAACATTTCAAATTAGTCTTATTCCTTTATAATTTACATTCGTAATTTACTGTAAATTGGTTTGTTATTAAGTTCAAATTTAGGGAATAATAGTTTGTATCTGAAGATTTAAGGATGTCTTTACAAAAATGATAGTCTTGCTGATTAAATAATGCCCAAATTAGGTTGCGACTTTTACAAATCCATCTGAACCCTCAAAATCTGCATACATCTTGGCTTGCTTTGCTCTCTTCTTTTGAGATACCCCTCCTCATACCCTTCAATCCTATCCAAACTCTCCCCTCCAGTCTCCCTACCCCCAATCCACTCTCCCCCTAAATTCCTTCTTCACCTCTCCCCAGCCAGTCCTCAGTCCAAAATCCTTCACGAATTCAGCTGAATTCTCAGTTTTAGAAGGAGCCGACTTGGCTGAGCTGAGTGACCAGTGGGCGGGGTGAAAGTAAGATTAGGAAGCTGGTTTTTGGATTTTTGGAGAGTTTAGTTGGAAAAGTTACTCTTGTAAGGTCTAGGTCTTGGATTCTCTAAAGACGGTATGATTTCTTACTCTTGATGTTGGTAGAGGGAAAGTCTTGATATGCTTGTTCTTGGTTTTTCCATCTGGTCTTGGTCAAATTGGTTGCTAAGGATGTATCCAACCTTCTTGTTTATGTTTCATAAAGTCATGAGTCTTACTAGTTAAGGGAGTTTCACTATAAACTCCATGAAATAATTTAGCATCTTTATCTTGCCGTTCATCTCTATTGCAATCATTCTCAATTTTTTAAAGAAAGAATTACCATAATTTGTTTGACTTTGATGTCATATTGAGCCTTCTCAACAATGCTGGTGAATAGTTTAGACATTCCTTTCTTCTTATTCTCATGTTTCTCTGAATTCTCATTTGCAACTAAAGCATTCGAACTTTGATATTTGACCATGAATATTTCTTTCTCATTAAACAAAGAATTAGTCAGAGCTTTGAGATTTCTCAGACTCTGAACAAAATTGGCTGCTTCAAACTCCTTGATGAACTTCTGCTCTCCTTGTTGATAGAACTGGAGTCGTCTCTTAACATTCAAAGTTGCTTTCTTCTTTATAAAGCAGTAGAATATGAACCTTAATACCCCTAATGTGTTATAAATCAGGTGTACAATCTTCCAGTTGTATTTAACTCGTCTTTTTATTGTCTCTAAAGCTTTGTTGGTCATCTCTTCTTTTGTCAACCTAACATACATACTCTCATTCCTAGACGATTCTTGATGACTGCTGGCGTGAAGATCATTCTGTATTTTGTCATCCAAAAAATCAGTTATGTCCCTACATAGTTAGTGCCAACTGGAAAAATTCGATTAGTTGATGCTTCTTTAGACTCATAACTTGAACTCTTGCTCTCTTTAGCTGAGCAAGGATGCTCAATTTGGTACATTTAAGAGAAAATTGAGTAGTAAAAGAGCTTGCTTGAGAAAATGTTAACTATTATTCCTCCAAGACCAACAAAAATACCCATAAGACCCCAACGCTGCCGATAACTTCGAGTAAGGTAAATACTCCTCGTTCATAAGATTTCGAATGTGAATCCTTGATAAATTTGACACCTAAACACATATTATCCCAACTAAACTCTCACTGATAATATTTGGGAAGACAGCACCTTCAATTGAGAGTCTTTGGTCAAACCTCTCTAAAGTAATGAACTCTTTGTTGGTTCCTCCAGGAAGGTAGGCCAGATAATCATCTTGGATCTCAGCCTCGTTCTTCCTATAGAGATTACTCAAGCCTTACTGAATCTTGATGAGATTAGTCTTGGTGAATCCTGGTATCAGCGTGAAGAAGAACCTATCATCTAGGTAGGTCTTAATCGGTTGTTCGTAGTCGTCAAAATCAAAGTAAGTGTTCACCTAGAAGTTATCAGAAGTTAGAATACCTGGAATATGTTGAGATCTGTATTCTGAATAATGTTGTTAATCTCTTCATCAGTGTTACACACCACTCCACTAGTGACATTGTTACATCTTTTGATGTTCAGCTCGAAGTACTTGTATGAATTCGAATTGATATTACCCTGTATTTGGAAGTCAGTGTAGTTTGGTCAGTACATTTTATCTATTTGCAGCTGAGTGATCTATGTAAACATTAAGATAATTTCACAATAACTTTTAAGAATTATTTCCAAACTCATAAACTATGAGTTCGAAAGCATTAACCAACAATGGTGTTAAATCAAAAGGATCTAAAACCACCTCGTCTTAAATTTCTTATGCCTAAACTACACAAATCTGACCAAAATCAACAAAACCAAATCTCGAACTCACCAATTTTATCAGAGAAATATGAGTAAAATCTAATGATTTCTAAAATTATAAAATGGATAAAAAATTTCTGATTAGCAGCTACCCTCCATATTCATTCAAAATTTTAAAATATGGAACTCAGAACTCTAGTTTAATACAACTGCTCAAAGGTTAGAAAGGGCTCATCAGACTGGAAATATGCACTTTTATTTTCATCTATAGAGAAGGTATTTGGCAAGTACGATCATCGATGGGCGTTATAGATCCTGAAATGGCTCATTTGAAAAGCATTGTAAGCACACGTAAAGAAGGATATACTAACCTCAGCTTGGTCTGAGTACTGAAAGTCATTTCCTCAGATTTTTGGATCAATTTTAATCTCTTTGTATTCTCCAGTAGCTATAGAGAATGTCAATTCTGGTTTAAAATTTTTAAATATGCATGATGACTTACTCTCATTAACAATATACTGCTTAATCTCAATTGTAAAGTAGCTTTCCTGTGCAAGAAGGTCAATATCTTTACCCAAATAGGTTCCTTCGAACGCAAATTGGAACTCTGTGCCTCTAAAACTGTATTATTTCCTAAAATACTGTAGATCAATGCTTTCAGTGTCATTAAGGATATCTACAGATTCAAAGAAAATCATACTTTTTACAGATGTATTGATGTTCTTTGAAGTGTTCTTATTCCCTGAACAAATATTATTTCAGGTTCAATAAAGATTAAATGTAACAGGTTAGCTAATTTAGCAACTGTGAATGTCTGAAGTAACTTACTTATCATAATAGTCAGCATCAGCCATGCATAGAGCAGCATGGCAATGTTGATGCAGACTGAAACACAACCTCCAAAGAGAGTAGTGAACGTTCTGTACAATTAGAGGGGCATCTTACTCTTGCCCATTATATGTAAAGTTTATTGTTCTTGAATACCTAAATTGAATTGAGTACTCCCCTGATTCACCCTAAGATTTGGAGTGGTGAAATATGAACGGATATCTTACATATCATAAGATTTCAGCTTCTCTACAATACTAATTGTTGTTTTTGAAAGAGAGGATTTCCCCATTTTGTAAATCAACTATTTATATCATAATTGGGGTTTTGGGGTTTTGGGGTTTTGGGGTTTTGGGGTTTTGGGG